TCAGCTGATATTTTACATCCAAAACCGTCCACATGGTCAAAGTTTGTCTTTTGACCGCTTATCTGTAATATGCTGGATTTGGAGATGTTGGGGAATGCGTTCATGGACCGCCGTACTTCCTGTTTGATCTTGTTTTTCATATTTTAGAGCCTCTGATTCCCTTTCAAATTTTGTTTAGGTTCGAACATTGTCTTCTTGTAGGTACCACACTTTATTTTACTTGGGATCCAATTTTATGCCACTATTCGTGGAATTACAAGAAAGTGTCGCATTGAAGCTTCCATAAATACCGCCGATATTCTGCGGATGTTTCTAAATTCAAATTTCACCACTTTCGTAAATGTTATAAATTCTGTTTAAGCCAGTGCTAAGGGACGTGGACGGTAACTTGCACTTTTAGTACCGTCCGTGTACAGGCTCAATCAAACCGAGCGTGTAACATTTTCAATTTTGTTGTTTCGAGAGTTCTTTTCAGTTTTTTTTCTCTTTTTTACCACAATTTATGATTTAGCTTATACTTTAGTTAAAAAGACATTATGGTCATCCAGTCGTAAATTGTAGTGAACAGGTATACATAAAAATACTTTTACATTTTGTATTTGATTATGAAAAATTAATCAATAAGTCACGTGACTAACGGAATGGTTCAGAATGTATCCATTATACTAAAATCTTAAGAAGTTTGGGCAGTAGTTTTATAATTAACCTTTTATCCCATGAGCATATTGCGAAAAAAATGTCCGTTTTCATTGAAAAGCCTGCTGTAACAAGTTCAAACTGCTATGAAACTATGAAAAATGCTTCAATACTGATGAAACTTGGCTAAAATGTTGACTAGACCATGGCCTTTTTAACAGCATGCTCAATCGTAAATTTCCTGTTACCATGGCAATGGGGGCGTCTCAAAATTGGCAAAATCACTATTTTGCATTGTTTTTTTCCATCAAAACGGATTTCAAAGTGCTGCATCTTCTCAATGAATTGAGATAGAGTAAAAGGTTTTTCAGTGTCGGCCACTAGTTATCCTAAGATCGCCGGAGGCCATTTCTAGCCTGTCAAATGTCCAAAGTTTTCTTGCCGATGAGGGGCACTACCGCCCCCTTATAACACTCCAAACAAAAGGGGGCACACACCCCTTCTGGCAACTCCCTGATGTAACATTTGGATGGGAGCACCGCCGAAAAGGTGTACTTTTTTAACAACATTTCTCAAATGAAAAACAGTGTTTGGGGCCTAAATAGGGGATTTTTTTCACTGTTTGAGGCCTCAAAAAAGGGGGGACAAAAACCGTCAAAGCACGTCTGTATCAGGGAAAAGGTTTAGGTATTTTCAAATTTATTTTTTATATTTTTATATTTTTTATATTTTCGCTCATCTCGACAGCGAAAAAATGAGCATTATGTAAACTATTCGATCTATTCTTAGGAATAAATGTTCAATAACACTTTGAGTAGAAAACTTTAAAGTGGCACACACAATGATAAGATTTTGTCCTATATGCTTTTGACAGATCAAGTTGTCCGGGATGGAACCAATTTCAAGGATTTGAACAAACTTGGTCATATATTGCACAAAATCACAATTATATTTCACCCACCACATGACAAGGGATACAGTGATACAAGGGTTACACAAGGTTACAGTGGGATACAGTTAATTTCCATCATGTAACAGATATTTTTAAAAATAAATTTTGACTTTTTTGTTCTTTCACTTAGAGATATCATTTGAATTAAAAAAGAGATATAATTTCACTTATAATCGATAATCCATTAACATATTTTCATATTTTTTTGTCTTTTTTTAATCCCATGTTGTTTTGTCAATACAATACAATACAACATGCTTTTATTTCGTCAAGGTTACATTTGTAACAACAGACATTACAATAATCAAGTAAATAAATACATGTGTGGGTATCAAATAGAAAACAATTACATGTTTTACGTCAAGTGTGATAGATAATCAAGCCAAAAAAAGTACATGTAATACAACTAGAAATATTTTTTTTAACCTTAAAACTTAACATAAAATTAAGTATGGGGACAGCGATTTTTAACTGTCTAATTTCTATAGGAGATCACCACATCAGAGGGGCTTGTTAGCCGAGTAATGAGTGAGCAATGGCCTTGGTGGATACTAATTATTTATTTCTGAATAATTAAAGTTCAACTTCATATGAACATATTTATTATAATTAGAAAAAAAGATCATGTTTTATTTTGGAAATAATATAGATATATAAAATAGGATTTCAAAATTTTACTGATAATCAGATCACAGAACATTATAAGTATATCACCACTTCAAAGGACCTTGTTAACTTGAGAATTATAGCCTAAGGCTAACGCTTGTTTATTGAAATTCTTGTGACCATAGATCATAAATCACAACTTCGTAAAGTACTTCATAAACTGTAGAATAAGACATCTATTTTGTTTGTTTGTAGGGGGTTTTCTTACTTTTTTATTCATATCAATGTTTATTTCTGAAGAAAACATATTTATTTATTTTTGTAAAACATTAAGATTATATTATTTGAGAATCTATATATCTAATGTGATCATATATCACAATTTCATAAAGCACTTGTTAACCCATTACTTCATATACACGCCTTTTAACGCCTTTTTCACCCCCCCCCCCCTTTTCTGTTGTCTCAAATGATGAAAAAATGCCTTATTTAGGCCCCAAACACTTGTTTTTGTTTGAGAAATGTTGTTAAAAAAAACGACCTCTTTTTCGGCGCGGCCCCCCAACCAAAAGATACATCAGGGGGTTGTCAGAAGGGGGATGTGCCCCCTTCTGTTTGGGGGGAGGTTTGAAGGGGGGCGGAGTCCCCCTCATCGCCAAGAAAATTTTGGACTTGTGAGAGGCTGTAAATGACCCCAGATTGATCATAAGGTAACGTGTAACCAACGCTGAAAAGCATTTGACTCTATCTCAATCCATTGAGAAGTTGCAGCACTTTGAAATCAATTTTGATGGAAAAAATCAACGCAAAATAGTGATTTTTGGCAATTTTGAGATGTCCCCTCGTTGCCATGGTAACAGAAAATTTAAGCCTGAGCATGTTGTTGCAAGGGCAATGGTCCAGTCAACATTTGTGCCAAGTTTGATTAGTGTTGAAGCAGTTTTTATAGTATTATAGCAATTTGAACTTTTAACGGGAGACTTTTCAATGAAAACAGCCATTTTTCACAAAATGCTCATGAAGCAATGGGTTAAGGATATTAAGATTTTTTTTTGCTAATTGCTCATTTCTAAGTAAGAAAGCTAAAGTTATTATTTGTACATTTTTTTCTTCTCTTTTTTTTAACTCTAATTATTTTTTATAATATTTTTAAATATTTGATCCATATTTAGGGCTGCATGCTGGTAAGTTGTATTTTTAAAAACAATTGGTGATGAACCAGGTACATATACACCTGGATGAACTTGTTAATAAATGGTCGCTGTTTTTGTTAAATGAAGTGGACAGTTGGGATTTGGATTACAGAGCCCTCCCTTCAATAGTAAGTACTAATATTTCATTCAACATTTAGAGAATTGTTACATTGAACACATTTTATTTAGTTGGGATAATGATTCAACTTATAAGCATAACCGTTTACTACTTTTACTAATAAATTTAAGTGTTTCCACCCAAACTATCTAAATTTTAAAACTGTGAGTTAAATTATTTTTGTTGTATTTTTTCTGGGAATAAAGGGATAATTCTTAAACCTTTAACTTTAGTTTCAGTATGTTCAAAATGTAACAATTAAAATTTATTATAAAATGTCCCCAGATGACACTTCCTAGGAATTCACTCCTTAATGCAATTGATAACATAGAAGTAAAGAGAGTGGAAGGTAGAACAGTATATTAATTCATATGCATATTTCTTGAATTATTTAAGAAAGCAGATGATGCTTGAATATAATCTTGTATGGCAGTAATGCTTATGTGACTTAATTATTCACAGTTTGGATCAGTATCTGAAGTAAATTATCTGAAAATCAAAAAATCTCTTGAACTTATCTTATTCATAAGTTTAAAACACATATAGATTATGTCCTGTTCTGTTTTGCTCCAACGCTTAACTAATTAAAGATTTACACCAACCTGTGAACCCTATTTAATCTATTCAATTTCTTACATCATTGACATGAACAAAACATTGTAGAAATTTTTTTTTTTATATGCCTTCATATATTTCACATTCCTTGAATTTTTTATAGAAATGGATTTGAAGCAGCGTGCCTCCAGATTTATTTGGCTAATTTTCATGTCTTTTTTGTATTTTAAATCAAAATAATGTGAAGTGAACTAAGTAAATAATTTACACATTGCAAACAGCACTAGTAGCAATCCATATAAACTACTAAAAATTGACAAAAAAAGCAAAATCAAACCCTTTCCTGTGTTGTCGCGTGGAAGAAATATGGTGATAAATACTGCAAATTCGGTCCTTAATTGCAGATAACATGACTGTACATTGTCAATTATTACTTGAATTTTAAATGATTTTACATTTCTTAAAACCTTTGGATACTTTTGTCAAGTTTAATTTTCTGAAACACTTTTGCTCATCGTTACACATGCAGCTTTAAAGAAACAAATCATTATGTGTGACTTATTTTATGAATTTACCTAAATAGTTTTACAAAACTTTAAACAGTACATTTTATACAAACTGCTGTTTTGGCTTTCTATGAATACATACAATTATAGTATATATACCATATTTAGCTCTATGAAAATTTAGGAAATTTGTCTTTGAGGTCATAAGTTAGGACATTTGTCTTTGAGGTCATAAGTTAGGACATAGGTCTTTGAGGTCATAAGTTAGGACATAGGTCTTTGAGGTCATAAGTTAGGACATTGTCTTTGAAACGGAAAATTGTCCCAGTTTTGGTCTTAACTAAATATTTTCTATGAAAGGCAGCCAGATCTTACAGCAAATGAGTTTGCACTAAAAATTGACAGCATCATTATTGGTTAATAACATAACACAATTCTTTTTGATATTTCTTTACTTTCGCTATTCATGATCACAGCACTTATTATACTAAATAATTTACATCAATATGACAATATCACACACTTCACAAGAATACACAAGGATACATTATCCTACCATTAAACAAGAGATTGTCGGCAGGAATGATTCACAGTGTTTGTTCTCTGTTTAGTTTAAAGCCTCTATTAGGTAATCTAAAGTTTTTCACAACATTTTTGTTAATTTAAAATTATCTAAAAGACACATTAGCACCTGTTATAATAAGTTATTTCTCATTCCAAGTTCCTACCATTTAATAGCCAATGCATTTGTCATCTTTTCCACCTCATGATATTCTGTATGTAACATTTGTTTACACTTTTCACCGTCCGTTCCACCTAACCAGTCAGAATAAAGTTTTTGAACATCAGACTGTGTCCATGGATTTACAGTTTGTACTGAGTTATAAAGTTCTGTAACTTGAACCAGTCTGTCTTTGGGAGTAATCTCCCCTTCTGGTCTAATTTGGCCACCACCATTTGTACAGCCTGATGGACAGGCCATAATTTCAACAAAATGATATGGACATTTTCCACGTTTAATTTTTTGAACAATATTTTGAATGTTTCTGAAACCATAGGCTAGAGCCATTTTAAATGGTGGTTTCCCTTCTGTTTCTATAGTAACTTCTTGAAAATCTTGATTTCTGTAAAGAAGAAAAAATTCATAAAAGAGAATTCCCAATGAAATAAGATAAAACTGCTATTTTGAAATTTGCCATTGTGTTAAAAAGGTAAAATATCATCAATATCAGCATGAATTTTCTAAGTTGGTCAGCACACAAAACACAGGGCTGAAGGACCCACATGACTTTCGGACAAACTACATGGCTGAAATTTAAAACAGGTTCCGGATTCAGGTTCATTTTTTTGTGAAAACTTTCTTTAAATTATAGGGTAGATTTTCTCTAAATGATATGCATAAGCCCCTACAAAGAAAGCACTTTATTTGGTTGTAACTGAATGTGCAAAGTTTCTCAAATTTTCAATAATCTTTTCCAATATAATGTTGTTTTTGGAAGTTTTCATACAGACATATAGGCCAAATTAAAACTGTTCAGTAGAATTATTTTAAACTTGGCAAGTTGTTAGAATATGATAATAGAAATATTTTAAGGGAAACAAATTTGGAGGGCACTGTTCTCATTATTGAGTTATCTGCCACTAAATTGGACATTTTGGCTTAAATCAATGGCAGATAATTCATAATAAAGATAAAGGTAAACAATACCTATTTGTTTGCTTATTTAATATAGTTTACTTCTGTTTGTGTCAATAGTGCAAAATTTCAATAAAAAATAAAGAGAGGATTGGCCTTTTTCCCCTTCCCCATATTGTAACCCATAAATAGAGCAGAGATTCGTGACCTTAAACACTTGACAATGTAAGTCCTTGACATTTGATTAAATATGTAAAGTTTATACCGGAGCGTTTTATATTTTAGATTATCCACTGTTATTCCAAGGATTTCCTGGGCAGCATATCTAGCAATATGTTCCAGATAACCACCTGATCCACCTCCTATATGACTCACAATAGAGGCACTCCCAAATCTGTAAATACATACCGGTACTACATTTATAGTTGGTCAAAAATTCAAGCATGCTTGAGGTAAATTAAAATATTTTAACAAGTTTTGAGATATACTAATAGTATATACTAATGTACTAGTAGTCAAAATTCCAAAATAGGCCTAAGCTATGTTAAAATCATCAACAAGGTTTGATATATGGTCAAAATTCCAATCATGTTTGAGTTATGGTAAATTATGTATTTCAATAAGTTTTGAGATATGGTCAAAATTTCCAACAGACTTGAGATATGTTAAAAAGATTAATAAGTTTTGAGATATATTCAGAATTCCAGCATGGATTTATAATATCTGTGATTCCAAACAGGCTTGAAATATGGTAAAAATTTCAACAAGTTTTAAGATATGGGCCAAATTTCAAGCATGACTGGAGATATGTTCAAAAATTTCAACTAAGTTTGAAATATGGTCAAAATTTCAAGCAAGTTTTGGACTGACTCATCAAACTAATTCTTCAATATTTAAAAACATTTTACTGTTCTTTTAGTTTTCTTTTTATTTTAAAAATTTTCACTCTTACGTTAAATAGTTAAAGGTGTAAAGCCAAATAAACCAAATTAACAATAAACATTGAATTAAAATATGTAAATAGCAAATAATTCTTCAATGTCTGTCTGGCTATATAACCTAACAGCGTTAACTTAATATTTACTGACCAAGTTTTTTACCTAAGATAAGGCACATTATCTATCACAATAATTTGGTTGAAGAATGAAGACTGATGCCATTCTTCCTCTGGCACTATCATAAATAGAAACAGCGGAGATAGTTGGTTGGCAGTATCTTAAAGGAAAAATTGGTTCAAAATGGTGCAGAATCCAGGAACATGTGTAAGCTGGGAAGTCTTTCCAGGTATGAGGTAATGCTGAGTGCCCCATGATGATATGGCTGAAAACCTGTTAGTCTGGTTATATATCTGATAAAGGGAATGAATATAATCATGAAGAAATTAAAAAAAAAATTAAAAATACTTACAAAGTATCTAAAGGAAAATCTTCAATATCTGATAGGGATGTACCTTCCTTTTGCAACATCAAGTCTACTTCACCTAAATATACAAAAGAAAAAAAAAATATTTTACAAAAATATACTTGCAAGAAGTTTCTATAATTTTCCAGTGTATACCCAAAAAGCATGTTTTCACAATATCAATATTGGTGATGAAATGAAGTTGAACAGATAAAGTGTTTGATAGGTTCTTACATATATGCACTATTATCCCATGCACAGACATGTATTAATATCATAAGCCCTAACAACACGTCCATTTTTCAATTTGGACAAAACTATCCATCATTTTTCCAAAATTTTCAAAATAAGCATTGACTGAATAATAAGTGCAGACCAGGATCTATTGTTGATCTAGGTCTGTACTGGCACATGGTACAGTCTGTTGCTGTCAGCAGGCTAAGGGTTTCATTTTTTTTTAATGGTTTGTTATTAAGATTTTGGACAAGTTATATGGCCAATATCAAAATAGTAGCAAATTTAACAGTTTATCATAGCCCGAGCTACAAAGCAACTTTTATATAGCAGACAACGGCTAGCAAAATGTTCATTTTAGCTCTTATAAACCTTTATTTCAATTTCATAATAGATTACATTCCTGGTGCAATAAAAAGTCATGATCTGACTAATCTATTTATTTTAGCTCTTCAATTTCATAATCGATCACATTCCTGGTGCAATAAAAAACTAAAAGAATATAAGTATAATGATCTGACTAATTTAAACAAACCTGATGTTATAACACAATCCACATCTCTCGTACTGTAAACATCACTGTAGAAATCTGGGCGTGAAGCCTCTAATTTTTTATCAAAACATGGCATCACACTGACATGATATATCTGGGCTGGGGACTTTGACAGATGCTTTGCAAAATAATCCTGGAATTATGTTAAAACATTGACAATAATATAAAATACTGATGACTTTTGACCATTGAAGGTAATTTTTACTGAACAGTAGGAATATAAAATATGGATTGAATGAAAGACCTGTAATTCAAAATTTGGGAAACTGTGTAATAGAGTGATGTCTTTTTGCTTGCACAAAACAAAACAGAAATGTGAATGCAAGATACAGGCTTAACAAAATCACTAAACATAACATTCACTGAAAAAATCGCAAAATCAGCCATTTGCAAATACATAACCAGATATACCGTATCTTATATTTGAGCGAGTTATACAAGTAAAGATGTCTTTTTGTTTCAGTGAACATAACAAACAGCTTTATAATGCTACTAGACTATAAAATCACATAGTAGACACATTAAGATTATACCGACCCAGTCATATGTTACTGATATGTAATATGTAACAGACACAGGACTGTTTTCTAAATCCTGAATACCAAGCTATACATTTATTTGTACAACTTTTAGAATTATCTTTGGTACAACCAGGTGAGGAATCAAACCTGTGACATCTTGCACACAAAACTGTCATTGTGCCAAAGATCAACAGCTGTAATTTTTAGTAAAATAATGAGTACCTTCACAATAGATCCCATAATTTGTTGAGGTGACTTTACTTTACTAATGTAAGGCAGTATATAGGAACCGTGTGTCTTCTCTGCATAACATATCCAACCTGAATATTAGAAGTTAAAAATAATTCAGTTTGAACATTTAAGCCCGATTAAGAAACAACTTCTGTCAGCTTATATAAGTCACTTTTTTAGAAATAATCAGAACATGGAAACATAGTCATGATCCGAGAAGGACTTGAATGCGGCTCAACTCCAAAATACATGAGATAAGAGGCTGGCACCTTAATCAAAAAGCCGCTGTTATCATAAAGCTGAAATTAATTTTCTTATATATATATAATCAATCCATGCCAATTGTGAAAGACTATCTTTAAATACAGGTAACATTTAGAAAAACCTATGAAATGATACATAAATCAAGGCAACATTACAGTAGGCAACAGAGTAAAACCACAATCTCCTATGTTAACTTGCTGAATATCTTCCGCAAATTGTTAAAAATCAACATCCTTTATGTACCAAGGGGAATAACTCACCAGGACAGGCAGAAGCTAACATAGGAAATGCTGCTGGCGTAACTTCAGATTCTTTATAACGATTTACAAATTCTCGACAACTCTCTATCAAACTAAAACCTCGGGCAAACGTAGTGTCTAGCACATAATGTACACCTGAAAAAAAACAACATTCATACCATTTTACTCTATTTTGTTCTAATGATTCTGTAGCTTAAATATCAGAATCTTTGGATATCATTAATATTTCCATTACTTAATTTGCATAAAGCCCTAGCATGAACGTCAATCATCAATGACAAAATTTGACAGGATTTTATTCACTACATGCTGGAGCAGAACTTCTAGACATTTGCAGAAATCATGATAAAAAAGAAGCAAACTTTTGCTTTTTTTTTTGCAAATTCTTACATTTTCCACTTATTATGGAATATAGATCGGTGTGAAGAGATGAATTAGTCGTTTTAAAGTGCATTTGGGCAGTTGAAAAGTTCATCAGGTGTACAGGTGAGATTTTAGCATTTGATCATTCAAGCCCCTTGTCCAGTATATACTGTAATACAGTATTTAATGTTTTCAGCTCCAAATGTTTTTATACTCACTCATTTGGACAAACAACAGTATAAAACCTGAACAGACTGCATGGAATTACAGACTGTCCTGGCTCTATACATGTGCTTTGCTTTGATTTAAACATTGTAAGGATTGATTGTTCTGAATGCTGAAATGGTGCACAGGGAAACATATCAACTTAAGGTAAGTTTCTCAAAGCCATTAACCTAAGACCTTTAACAATACTTAAATCTTCTTAAGACTTTTATATAAATACAGTCGAACAGGACCTCAAACATATATATATATATTGTTATAACCTTAAAATAGACAATAACACTAACCTAGTTTTTTGAAGAATGCTGTTAGTTTGTGTGATGTTTCTGTCATATTGAGGTTATATTTAGCAGCTAGAGAAGCACGGGCCTGCGGACACACTGATACCACTACTATCTTCTCTTCATCTGACTTGCCATCCTGTATTTTAATACAAAAATATTATCATAACCTGTTATTTTCATGTTTTTATTAAATAATAAAAAATATAGCATATTAAATGAGTGTGAAATGAATAAACCAATATAAACAACACATTCAATAATTTTAGTATTGAAGCTACACGAATACAGTATCACATATATGAATTGTTTACAAAGAAAGAGTCATTTTTGTTGATGCCCCGTAAGTGTAATGCGGGCATTTGGTTTCGTTTATACATAATTTATTTTAGTTTGATTATGTAGGAAGCTACCAGTATAAGCTTATAGACACACTTTTGAATGCCGACATATGCGCGCTTTAATGCTATGTTTGTATATATCGCAAATGATGTCACATCAAGGTGATAAAGCTCATTATGTTGAGTGCAAAGGTGAGATTTTAGCATCTAATCATTTAAGGGCCTTGTCCAGTATATACCGGAATACAGTGTGGTGCATCAACACTTTTAAGTCTCACTCATAATACATAACCTCCTGTAAAAATATTACCTTCTGTAACTGATTATTTTCTTGCAGTATCCTATACAGCTCATCTTGACTTTGTTGAGTTATAAGTACACTTTCTGCGGACGTTATACACCCACTACATGCCAGACAATCGTTCAATGTGATCTGTGCTTTCTGTAGCTTTGTTTCCTTTCCTCCCTGTAAACATTAAGTTTTAATTTAGTTGAAGCATAATTTATTTCACCCTAAAAACTTTCTGAATTTATGTATCAGATTTGAACTGCTTTGATAAGAGGAACAGTCTATTTAAAGATAGTATGACTTCAATATCAAAACACATAAATAAGCAATCAACAGTATAAGTATAGAGCATTGCCAGATTGCATGGATATATTATAATCCTGCCTGCTAAAGGTGATATGGCCACTTTTCTGGTTGAGGAAGAACTCTCACTGGTGCCACTTGGTTAATTACTTCAGACACAAGCAAGCATGTTGGATAGAACCAATGATTTTCCTTCAACTAGCCAATATTAGCTAATCAAAGGTCCTGGTGATTGTCCAATTCAAATTTATTGCAGTTTAGAGCTAATGATTTTTACAGTCAGGGATGCTAAACAGTTTCACACAGACCACAATATCAGTTTATAGTTTTCAAGTTATGATATTTAGTATAAGTGACCTTGACCCTTACACTAAGTCCTTAACCAGATGAACTGACAGGCTTCCATTTTCTGATTGGTTAAAACATATTTAAGCTCGATTTTGAAACAAGTTCTTAAAACTTATATTAATCACTTTCGAGTCTGCTTCCTGGAACCAACCAGTACAAGTCTTATATGAAGAAAAATGGTCGTACCCAATTAGGGCTTGAACCCATGATCCCTTTGTTGAGAGGCAGATAACTTAACCACTAGGACCTCTAGGTCAAGGTCGAATGTTAAATAAATACTGACCTCTGACACATTAAAGTAACTGCCATCATCTTCTATTCGAATTTTCCCCACTTTCCCAGCAGTCCTGTCTATCTTAACTGGCTTTATACATTCCTGAAAATACAATGTAAATAAGAATTTTAGTCTGCATTCATAATTTATACACTAGTGACTATATGTATACAAAACAAGTGCTGTCGGCAGGACCACATGCTTGTCAATGACTATTTTAAGTGCTTGATAGTAATACAAGGGACTGGATAATGTAGAAATTATGTTCTAAAAGGGCCATAATTCTGTCAAAATCCATTCCAGAGTTATGAGCCTTGGACAGTGACCTCCTATAATGCTTCCAAATAATTTTGGCTCCAAAGTGTAAATAAGTTTTTCTCATATTTGGGCTGTGACATACATTTAATTAATGTATTTTTTTGACTCCAGATGACCCATATTCAAACAACCAAACAGCAGTTCTGACAAAAAATTTAAGGATATCTGAACTGAAACAGTAGTCTCTCCATCATGGACAATATTTTTCTATTTTTGGGTCATGTAACCTAGTTTTTCATCCAAGATGACCCATATTCGAACCTGTTTGACTAATTACTGGGACAAATATCCCAAGTTTCGTGACAATTGAAGCTTTGTGGATACTAGAGGGTTAATGATTTAAGTGTGGACAGACGACAATGGACATTCATAAACCCTAATAACTCACCCTGAGCCTTCAAATAAGACAAAAGGGGTATGGCGGCCTATGTTATCACCTCACCAGAAAGACCTGCAAGCACTCAGTCTGGTTTTCTCTATAAAAAATATATAGGTAAACATAGCCAAATCCCATAATCTTGGTAGAAAGCCACTTAAAAATAATTGCTTTTTTATTGTCTCAAAGTCTGAACAACACAATTATATAATTTATACAATGTACTTTCTATATAGAGCTGTCATCGATATCGACAATATCGATGTATCGTTGATATTTTTTTGTCGATCAATAATCGATACACATTTTAAAAAATCGATACTTTTGACTTATAAATTAAATGTCTAGAAATTATACAATTCACCCAAAATATATGCAGAAACAATTATTTATATCTTATGTTATGCTTTTGTTATATAGTGGAATTATTTCATAGCAATGGTGATAAAAAATATTGTCTGGAAAAAATCATGCAGTGGACAAGACACTGTACAGAACATGTTTTTGACTGAAATCATTGAAACAGGTATGAAAGTGAATGACAGACAAGTGAGTATAGGATATTATTGATATATCGGTGTATCGTTGATTTTAGTTACTTGATATCGATATATCGTTGATATGCTTTGCACTAAATCAATGACAGCTTTATTTCTATAACTGATTTATTTACAAGTACAATTGGAAGTGATCCCACCTCAGAGGGCCATGTTTTTTTAACAAATCAAAAACATCAAATTAAAAGACTTTTTTTTTTTTAGAAGAAAATTTCCAAATTCTGCCGTATATACATACATGTATTGGTTTTTTATAAAATCAAAATAATTTGAAAAATAGTGATCAACTTCCAGAAATTATCATGAAAATATTGTTTGTTTTAAAGCAATATACAGTAAAAAAACCCGCTTTGCGACCACCCCGATTTTTAGACCAACCCGCTAATAAGAATGATTTTTTTCAGACCCGATTTTCTTCTTCTTTATTGCAATGGTCGCCAACCCTGATATCCAGACCACCCTGTTATTCCGTAACACAACCGGTTTATTCAGTCCCTTTTGTACATCATGTACATTTGTTAACCCCTAAATAAGACCGCAGGCATTTTCTCACCTTGATATTGATATGCATGTATATTTCTGAAATCCTTTTTATTGTAATTTTTTAGTCAGTGGTGGCAATTTTATTCTTATTTGTGGGAGTAAGATTTTTTATTTTGATCATGATAACGAGGAATGCCTTAAAGGCCCATCTAATGCCACTGAAATGCTTTTATTTTTTATGCTCAGAAGCTTTGTAGATTACTTTTTGTGAACTCTTATAGTTTCCAAAAAGTTACTTATTTGAAACCAATTATTGGAACCCTTTCTCTCTTCTGTTGCTTTTTTGCAGTTAGTACATTTACAGTGATTTAGTATTTAGTATATAAGTCAAAATACTACTTAATTTACATAATGTAACTTTTATGACAAACTATTTCACATTTAGTGCTACTTTCTTTATGTAACAGGCATCTAAAATGCGCTAAAACCATTATTTTAACATTATAACATTCAATATTTGCCCTTTCTAAAACAGCAAAAATTCTATTTGTTTCTCAGGCATAATAAAATTATGCTTTCAAGTATCATTATTTCATACAATTTTTTACCTTGGTCTGGTTATAGGACACAGAATACTGACTGAGGTCAAGCCCACAGTCTATCTGCTCTGTGTCAATGCTATAATCCTTTACAACAGGGGCTGGCTTTTTCTTCGTCTTTCTCACCAACTTTCCAGTGTGGTGCAACCACAATAGAACACATATTAAGATCAAGACAAATACTGGCACGGCCACTAAGATTCCAATTAAACTCCATTTATCTAGTCCAGTATTGGCCATGTATAGAAGTTTTGGCATATTTAATTTCCACACCTGTCGGGGGTTAAGTTCACCAACATAGACAAAATGTCTTGTCTCATCTACAGCAATATCATGTGGATGATTTAAGCCTGGTTCTGGAATATTCCAAGTTGAGAGTAGCTCACCGGTGTCAATGCTTAGAGTAAATCCTTTAGTTTTAGCAGCGTACGGACCATCTTGTGGCCCATTTACTGCAAATATTACACCTCCATGGCTCATACTATATTCAATAGCATATACAGCTTGCCCAAATGGTTTCGGATGCATTTGTCTCACGAAATTTCCTTCCAAATCGAAACACTGAATTCTACCATTTTGACGGTCTGCAACACAAAGCAAGCGTTTGTCTTCAGCCAATGTTAAACCATGCGGAAAGTTGAAAGTACCCGCTGGGGGGAAACCATCGGAATTTCTGTAAACACTTTTCGATCCCCACTGCTTAATGAAATAACCGTATTTGTCAAACTTTATTATACGGCTGTTACAATATCCATCTGCTACAAAAAACTCTCCTGTCGACAGCACCGCAACATCAGTTGGTTTACAGAAGTGCTCAGAATCTGATCCAGGTTCAAACCTGTATCCTAATGTAAGATCCGGAAATTCACCTCCTTTAGGTATCCGGAATACTTGATGCAGGGCGACATCAGTCAACCACATATTACCCTCCAAATCGAGCGTCAAACCGTGGGGCAAGTAATATGTATTATTCCCAAATGACCGTTTTAACGTACCATTCTTATACAGAATGGCAACAGTGTCCACCTCAATCGGGAAATATTGTAATGTATATACATGCATAGAATCAAACGAGAATGCATTCCAGATATTTTCACCGCGGTGAAATATATGTATCTCACCATCTTCATTCACAGCTAGACCTCCCACTTGCCCTATATCTAAGTTTCCAACCTTAGACACAAAATTGAGATCTAATCCATGATCTACGCAAAGACAACTTCTTGATATAAACAACAAAACTAATGGCAACAACAACAATACTTTGCTTTGTTTCATCATGAAAACATTCATATCTTGATACCTTTCAAAAGCAATGTACTCTACCTATTTATAAAACAATCATTTTCATAATTTAATCCATTTTTTTACCCAGATAAAACTTTTCTATTTCTTCAGTTTGTACATTGTAAAATGTCTGTTTAATCTATTTTGTTCATAAAATTAATGATCTTATTTCCAGATACTTTTTTCCTTCACCAGTAATGATTAAATATAGAGCCTAATTAAAGTATTCCATGATAATAAATATCATTCATTTTCACACATCACTTCGCTGATTTGTATTCTATGTAAATGTCTCTAATATGCTTCATCATGCATTGTTTCATATTGATTAGGCACAAGCTACCACAAGTTGACACTCGGTATAATGTTAAAAAGTTCGGAAAGCATAATTAGTTATTATTTCATGCACAAAATCTAAGCGTTAATTTTTTTCATACAAGCTCATTTACATAATAGATAATAATCCAAATCTTTTTTCTTTTTTTTAATATTTATTTGTAATACACATATAATACTATATAGTGTTTATGCCCCCACAGTTTCACTAGTACATGCTTCACAGTTGAAGGAGACAGTTTAACGTGGCACCCTGGGGCATTTCCTTTATATTAGTTAACCTATCTAATTACAGCTGTCAAATTTATGTCAATTTTACATTATATCTGAACTGTATTAATTAATGTTATATTTGTACGCTAATTTATTATATCTCTTTTGATCTCAGACCTCCATGGTTCTTAAATACTTAATTACTTAATAATTCATTTATAATTGTATGTATTTCAAATCAATTCATATTTTCAACTTGAATCAATTGATTTATAACCATACATTCCAAATGAATTCATATTCCCAATTAATTCTTTTTTTTTCTTCAGTTTATTAATAATCATATTCTAAATAAATTTATGATATTCAAAATTACATAATTTGTATTTCTAATTAATTAATTATCATATTCCATATGAACTCATGATATTCCCAATTAATCTATATTTTCATATTTTCATTTAATTTATAATTTATATTCCACATAAATCTTTTTTTTATTTCAGATAAATCTATTATATTCTCTATTAATTTACAATGTTTCCTGTAGTTTATTTTTTTTACATAGTCAAAGAAAGAAAATTTTTTACTCTGGACTTTTTAAAACTTTGTATGATTAAAGACAATCCCACTTTTTGAGAACCTAAATGTGAAATGTTTACTCTTGAAAATGACCCCTAAAACAAGTAAAATCTCGCTTTCAGGGGCAAATAACTGCAACAGTAGGATGGTGACCCCAATTTTTTCAGTTACATGTAGGATTCCTTTCAAACATGTAAATTTTAAAAAAACTAGAACTATCACTTAATGTGATTAATACCCCCGCAAGACTGCTTCAGAAATGAGGAAGTTATTAATAACAGAATACCTTGCAAAAGAAATGAAATAGAGTTATGGTTGTTGGCAATTAAAGATACTTGTGGTTCTTGTATGTTGCATTTCCTTTCAATGTGGTTGACAATTGATGAAGTTTTATTGAATTACTCTGCAAGAAGTCCAAAAAGAGTTACACTTCTTGAGCACTGCCCTCCCTTTTATTGCGATTGACACATTGAATGAAGTTTTATTGAATTCTAAACATTAGTTTTTTAAGTTATTCCCTGACAGGGAAAAGGAACAAAGAGCAATAACTCTACAAATACTGAAGATGGAGTTATGGTTATTGTACACTGCACTTCCTCTCATTGAGCTAGACCATTGTATGAAGTTGTATTGAATTCCAACAACTAGTTTTTCAGTTATGCACTGGACAAAAAAAGTAACAAAGGGCAATTACTGTAATTAGTTCAATAGATTTATGGTTCTTGTGCACTGCACTTCATCTCACTGCCCTTGATCATTGTATAAAGTTTCTTTGAATTCCAACCATTAATTTTCAAGTTATGCACTGGACAATAAAAAGTAACAGAGGAGGGCAAAAACTCTTAAATGAGTCAAGAAAGAGTTATGGTTTCTGTGCACTGCGCTTTTCTCAATATACTTGACCATTGTATGAATTTGTATTGAATTCCAACTAGTAAGTTTCAAGTTATGCTCTGGTCAATAAAAAGTAACAGAGGAGGGCAAAAACTCTTAAATGAGTCAAGAAAGAGTTATGGTTTCTGTGCACTGCGCTTTTCTCAATATACTTGACCATTGTATGAATTTGTATTGAATTCCAACTAGTAAGTTTCAAGTTATGCTCTGGACAAGAAAAAAAATAAATGGAAAAGTAACAAAGGGCAATAACTCTATAATTACTTTGGATAGAGTTATGGTTCTTGTGTACCATACTTCCTCTTATTGTGCTTGACCATTGTATGAAGTTGTTTTGAATTCCAACCTGTACTTTACAAGTTACGCTCCGGACAAGGAAAAGTATCAAAGGGCAATAACTCTGTAATTTGTCAAAATGGTGTTATTGTTCTTGTGCACTGCACTTCCTCTTAATGTACTTGACAATTGTATAAAGTTGTATTGAATTGCAACTAGTAGTTTTCAAGTTATGCTTCGAACAAGGAAAATTAACAAAAGGCAATAACTCTGTAATCAGTCAAGATGGAGTTATGGTTCTTCAACTTGCACTGCACTTCCTCTCAATGTGCTTGGCCATTGTATGAAGTTGTTTTGAATTCCAACCATTAGTCTTCAAGTTATGGTCCGGAAAAAAGAAAGCAATGGAAAAGTAACAAAGGGCAATAACTCTGTAATTACTTTAGATAGAGTTAAGGTTCTTGCGCACTGCACTTCCCCTTATTGTGCTTGACGATTGTATGAAGTTGTTATGAATTCCAACCAGTAGTTTTCAAGTAATGCTCCCGACAAGAAAAAAAAAACAAAGGGCAATAACTCTGTAATCAGTCAAGATGGAGTTATGGTTCTTGTGCACTGCACTTCCTCTCAATGTGTTTGACCATTGTATGAAATTATATTGAATTCCAACCATTAGTCTTCAAGTTATGGTCCAAACAAAAGAAAGCAATGGAAAAGTAACGAAGGGCAATAACTCTGTAATTACTTTAGATAAAGTTATGGTTCTTATGCCCCTTATTGTGCTTGACCATTATATGAAGTTGTTTTGAATTCCAACCAGTAGTTTTCAAGTTATGCTCCGGACAAGGAAAAGTAACAAAGGGCAATAACTTTGTAGTAAGTGAAGATACCTGATGGAGTTATGGTTCTATTGCACTGCACTTCCTCTCAATGTGCTTGACCATTGTATGAAGTTGTATTGAATTCCAATCTTTAGTCTTCAAGTTATGCTCCGGACAAGGAAAATGCAACGGACGGCTGGACCGACCAACTGACCGACCATGGAGTGAATCCTATATAACCCCAAACTTCGTTTTGGGGGTATAATTATGTTCACAACTTTATATAGTCCTTCTATGTCTTAGTTAAAAAAATATTAAACTAAAGGAAGTGTCAATGATAAAATATAATTTACAAATACAGTTTCTGCGCTGTTCAAATATGTGTTAGCTGTCTTGCCATGGTGACTGTGAGATTGCCATTATACTGGGGAAATAGTCACTATTACCTTGTCACTATACTGGTGCAATGGTTGTTATCACAATGTCACTATACTGGCGGAATGGTTGTTATCACATTGTCACTATACTGATGGAATGGTTGTTATCACATTGTCACTATACTGGTGGAATGGTTGTTATCACATTGTCACTATACTGGTGGAATGGTTGTTATCACAATGTCACTATACTGGTGGAATGGTTGTTATCACATTGTCACTATACTGGTGGAATGGTTCTTATCACATTGTCACTATACTGGTGGAATGGTTGTTATCACAATGACACAATACTGGTGGAATGGTTGTTATCACATTGTCACTATACTGGTGGATTGGATGTTATCACATTGTCACTTTACTTGTGAAGTGGTTTTTATCACAATGACACTATACTGGTGGAATGGTTGTTATCATATTGTCACTATACTGGTGGAGTGGTTGTTATCACATTGTCACTTTACTGGTGGGATGGTTGTTATCACAATGTCACTATACTGGTGCAATGGTTGTTATCACATTGTCACTATACTGATGGAATGGTTGTTATCACATTGTCACTATACTTGTGAAGTGGTTGTTATCACATTGTCACTATACTTGTGGAATGGATGTTATCACATTGTCACTTTACTTGTGAAGTGGTTGTTATCACAATGACACTATACTGGTGGAATGGTTGTTATCACATTGTCACTTTACTTGTGAAGTGGTTGTTATCACATTGTCACTATACTGGTGGAATGGATGTTATCACATTGTCACTTCACTTGTGAAGTGGTTTTTATCACAATGACACTATACTGGTGGAATGGTTGTTATCATATTGTCACTTTACTTGTGAAGTGGTTGTTATCACATTTTCACTATACTGGTGGAATGACTGTTATCACATTGTCACTATACTGGTGGAATGGTTGTTATCACATTGTCACTATACTGATGGATTGGCTGTTATCATATTGTCACTATACTGGTGGAATGGTTGTTATCATGTTGTCAATATACTGGTGGAATGGTTTTTATCACATTGTCACTATACTAGTAGAATGGTCGTTATCACATTGTCACTATACTGGTGGAATGGTTGTTATCACAATGTCACTATACTGGTGGAATGGTTGTTATCACATTCTCACTATACTGGTGGAATGGTTGTTATCACTTTTTTCACTATACTGTTGGAGTGGTTGTTATCACAATGACACTATACTGGTGGAATGGTTGTTATCACAATGTCACTATACTAGTGGGATGGTTGTTATCACAATGTCACTATACTAGTGGGATGGTTGTTATCACAATGTCACTATACTAGTGGGATGGTTGTTATCACAATGTCACTATACTAGTGGGATGGTTGTTATCACAATGTCACTTTACCAGTGGGATGGTTGTTATCACAATGTCACTATACTAGTGGGATGGTTGTTATCACTTTGACAGGATTTAGTTTGAATGG